AGCACCATCACCCTGCGTGAGGGACACCCGCTGCAGGACCCTGGGGCGTCAGAGGGGCTGTCCCCTCCATCACCCTGCTGTCATGCTTAGCTGTGGTCCCTCGCCAGAACCAGAAACCAGTGCAAACGTCCTGACCTAGGGCTTGTCAGTTTTGTCTTTCCACTAACACAAATGCTGTTGTAACTCCTCTGGGTATCAGAGCAACCCAAGTTTTATGTCAAAATGTGTCGAGGACCGTTTTCTGCCTGCCTTGCTGGCAGTTCAGATACCACTCAGGGGCCATCGTTAATCCACACAAGCTTTGGTGTTTGGCAAGCGGTGGGGATTTGTCAGCAGGTTGTTTTTCAGGGCTCAGGAATGGGAGTTGTGTCCTTCCGCGGACGTGGGAGGGGAGGCGGTAGGATGGGATGTGCAGGTGTGTCATTACTCCTCTTCCACCTTGGGTTGCGAATTTTGCCTGAGTCTGTTGTCTCCCCTGGGGTACTACACATTTTTTAAATAAATATTTTTAGGAAAAAATCATAAACCTTTTGTATGTTCACACATTCGTTTGTGTCAGGTAGTCCCACCCATGAAAGCTGTTTTCAGTGGACGTGGCATTTTGGAAATGTGTAGTTTGGACCATGAAAATGGCGCAGCCTTTCATGCTAATTTTTGGTGATAAACCCTTTTGTTCTGTTAAGTTTATTTTATCTGGAATAATTTTCTGAAGTCCCTTCCAGTTCATTTTCCTGTGTCTGACATCCAAGGCTGGAGAAAATAATTTGATTTTGCAGTATCGGTTGAGTAATCACAAGGTCATTGCCGTACTTCTGTTTAATTCTAAATATTTTTGAAATTAAGAATTCCCAGTGAAACAGACCAGGACACTGGTGGAATAGAAGCTTCTTAAATGTTGAGGTCAGGATTCAGAGCAGCCATAAATAAACTAAAGGGGCGCTTACTATGGCTGTACTCACAGACTGCCAGGTAGAAGTGATGTCTGGAGAGGTACTTCATCAGACACAGTGAGCCAGAACCTTTCCCTTTTCCTCTACATCGTGAATATTGACAGCAGAAGTATTTTTCACCATTTTTATGGAAGGAGAAATTAATTTTTTAATAACATAAGCAAAATGATATCTGTTGAACTTAAATCATATTCAGTGTTTGCTGTAAATGATTTTGGAAGGGAAATCTTTTTGCACGATTCTGCTGATTGCTTTGTGAAATCCCCCCGAGCCCTGCCAGGCTAAGGGAAGCTGAAACAAACATTCACAAGAGCTTTGTGAACACAGTGAAACTGTAAATGACCCGTTGTGGTTTTTTTGTGTTGCAGGGTGCCAAGGCTTTAGCTTTTTCCTTGATGGTCGATACCTCTATCCTCATGTTAGACTTGAGTGACAACTGGCTGCAGGGAGAAGGGGTGGCTGCAATTGCAGAGATGCTGAAAGAAAACTGCTACGTTTCAGGTTTGTATTGTTCTGTCTGCCATTCTCTGGTAGACACGTCGCTGTAGAGGAGGAAATTGTGCTGGCTTCTTTGTGGATTTAACCAGTCCTGCTGTCATAGTGACTCTGTGTGTGTGAAAAGGGTACCAGAATTGGGGTGCTGTTTGAACAGTGAGTGTTTAAAACTGTGCTGCTTCGTCACCTTTCTCCACTTGTTTTCATAGCATTTACTTTTGTGAAGTTAGGATGCCACTAACTGGAGTCAGCCCAGTGCTGTTATTTCTGTGAAGCTGCTGGAAAGCCAGGAGAAAGAGTGAGTTTCTGCTTTGACTGTGGATCAGAAATATCCACCTGAAACTTAGACTATTCAGAGGATGTAGTTAATAATGGTTAAAGCTTTGTAAGTTGAATTTGCACAATTGGCATCTAAGAAAACGGAGCTTCTAAGTAGGGACAGGTGGAAGAGAAGCCCATTTAGAGTGAATCTGCAAGCCTCTGTTCTAGCAGCAGCACACATCTGCTCTTCCCAGGGACGTTTCACAAGTCTAATACCTCTGTAATATTAGACTAATATTAGATACAGGGAACAGAAGCAGAGCACCGCTTCCTGAATTTAAGTCTCAGTCAGACAGTGTTGTGTCTAGAGATCATGGTTTTAGTCCCTGCTTTTCCAGGGTCGATATTTCTGCCTTTCATAATTTAAGTAGCAACTCCCAGTTATACGTGGACAAGTTATCTAGGTTTTGGGTTATACGTGGCAGGGTCCTGCGCTGGTTCTGCAGAGCTTAGGTGGGATACAGCTGGTTGTGCCAGCCCATATCCAGAAGCACTAACAAGCCCCTGTCATGTGTCTGTTTCACGTTTTCCAGCACTTGCATTAACCCCCTGTTTCAGTGTCTGAATCTCCAGGCCCCTGTTATGATACAGGCAGAACTTTTCTATAAGTCACGCTAGTTGCTGCACTGAAGGATATATTTTATTCACAAAGAACAAGGTCAGTTTAGACAGCTGAGAACATAACTCTCATATAACTAAAGCAACCCTGATCTGCTTTGTCAGGAAGTCATCATGGATGAAGGGGGCAGGTTCTGTGCTGTGAAACGCCCGTTAGCATGGGATTTTCTTATTTTTTTTTCTAGTGGTTGGATTCAGTATTAGAGGTTTAGGGTTCTGTTACTTCTGTGCTAGGAAAATTCATTCTGTGTGTAGGTGGGCAGAGAAGTTCATGCTTTCATATTTGGGTCTCAGTGTCTGTCTTCACATCCATTCATGTTGTTACATTTAGCCTGCTGTCTCTCCCAGCCTACACTCTTTTTTTCAAGCCATGATGAGGAACCAAGAAACCCGCTATAACTTTGCTGAGTGTAGGTTGTTCCTACAACCTAGGAGTGGGAAGCACAGAGGTACAAGGAGCACTTTTGTCTCATGTCCCATATTCATGTGGCAAAACTTCAATGAGCCTATCTATCTTAGGGACAGGCTGTGAATTAAAAAATGAAGTTCTATTGTTCCTACTAAAATACTGTGTTAGACCAGGTTCAGCATTCTTATTTTCCAAGTCTGGCACTGTTTCCGCCATTGCAGTGTAGAGATCAGGTGCCTCCCTGGCATCTGGTATGATATTATTTGATGATCTGATCATGTTTTTTCTTTCCCCAGCTGTTGATTTATCTGACAACAAATTAGGCATTGAAGGAGCTAAGGCCTTTTCTGCTATGCTTCTAGAAAATACTACAGTTGTGTCCCTCCAGCTCTCAGGAAATGAATTTGATGATCATGCAGCGAAGTATTTAGCAGATGCCATCACAGCAAACAGCAAAGTGGAAATTCTGGATCTGAGTTACAACATGTTTGGTGACAAAGCAGGTAAAGTGCTATCTGTGCAGCTTGCACAGAGAGGGGTGCTGTGGCAGTTAGCAATGCAGCTTAATGAGTTGCTTGCCTGTCTCAGATCTTTGGGGAGCAGGGTTTGTTAATATTTCAGTTTTCTGAAAAGTATTTTTGGCTCTTTGTAGGCAAAATCAGTGTCAAGCTATCATCATCATTCGTTTGTCTTCATTCTCTGCCTTTTCTTATAGCATTGCAAGCTTTACCTCTTCTGTTTCTTTCCCCGTTGTTTCTAGTTCCCAAGTTCTGATGGTCTTCCTTTCATTGAACTATCATTTGCTTTTTTTTCTCGATCATTATTTCAGCTTTCACAGGTGTGTAAAATGCTTAATAGGAGCAGAAAAAAACCAGCAGAATGGAGTTTGCCAACAGTCCTTTTGTCTAGCTCCCTGTCACTGAGAGGTGATTGCAGGTGCCAAGGGGAGGGTGTGAGAATGGAACAAGCAGGTGGTTGTGCTTCCCTGATACTCTTGACAGCTTGTGGTTTGGGGACTTCTTTTGCTAGTGACTTTGACTATTTCTTTTCTTGTTGGTCTTGACCTTGTTAATGCATATTGCTTTTTTTCTTTGGCTCCTGATTTTTAAGCACGCTGTTATTTAATCCTTACATCCTTGCATTCACAGCGCTCCTGTGATGCTGTGTGATGTGATGAAACCCAGTTACTGCTCTCTGGGCCTTAGTCTGTACTGGTTTCACCAGGCTCACTTGTGCTGAGCTGAACTCCCCCATCCATTCTTTCTTCTGTCCACTTCTGCAGAACACTCCTCAGGATGTCATTGCTGATCCCTGACTTTTCAACCTTTATGCTCATCTCCTTTTTGCACCTTACTGGCACATGCTTCATCTTCTCCATCTATGGCTGTCCTTGGGCAACCCCAGCCATATGTTCTGCTACTATCTCCAGGATGAAGATTCACAAATCTTCTCCCTGCTCCTGGTCTCACCCTACAACTGTGAGGGGCTCCAAATCCCTCTACGTCCAACACTGTGATGGGTACACACTCAAAAAGGGAGATACTGAATTTTTTCTCTCCCATGCCACATCCCATGCCCATGTCAGATCCACATTCTCCCCAGGTTGTGTCCTTCATGAAAAATTCACCATGTTCTCTCCATCCACTGTTTTACAACCCTTGATCATCAAACATCTCACCTGCTATAGCCTCCTCCTTGAAGATCCTCCATGTCTTCAGTGGGCTTCTCTGGCTCATAAGAGAGAAAACAACCATAATCCTCATTTCTTCTGGCCACCAGGAACACACCAGCCATTCACTTGGTTCCTTCCCAGTTCTGTTCTGCTTTTTTCCTCACTTTTACTTTTTAAGGCTGCAACGTTTTCACCACCCCTACCCTGCTGACCTCCTGCTGCCTTTACAGTCAAACAGCTCTCCCCAGTCTTCTGGTCTTCAAGCATGGCAGTGGCTTCCTTTTCTTCTGTGCTGGTTGACAACCTCATTTCTTTCCCTGCCCCATTGGAAACTCGCAGAACACTTGCTGATGAAACCTATTTAGATTTTATAATGGCACAGGAGCTCTGGGAGGGGTTAAAGAGAGAGCAGAGCTGGTTTCTCTGCCAGCAGAACAGACCAGCAGGCTTCAGTTGGCTGGAGGCCAGATCTGGGGAAGGGTGAGAGATTGTGGGAACCTACCTGGTTGCTTGGTGTCAGCTTTCAGACTCACATCAGGCTGGAGAATGAGCCTGTGCAGTCAGATCTCCACAGGTGAGCAGCAGACCCTGGCTTTATGATATGGTGATTGGATTTTCTCTCCCTCTTTGCTACATTTTGCAACCTGTGGTCAGAGAACACATATGCTTTATTGTCTGGCAGCTTTTGCTTTGTGTTTATGTCAAATGAGGTATAAAAGAAAATAATATGTTGTAGGTTTTAATTGCCTGCCTAGACATAATACAGACAGTTGCAGAGAAATACCTAAACTAACCCGAGCTTTCTTTCAACTCTTAAACTTAATCCTTTTAACTCTTAAACTGTTTGGCTTCGTGTATTTTTTCTTAGGTGAAATTCTTGGAACAACAATAGCAGAAAACACTGGATTAAAGGAACTTAAAATCAGCTGGAACCATTTCCATAGCCAAGGGGCAGCTGCCTTGGCCAAAGGCTTGGGGGTAGGAAATGTTTTCACTCCTGTTTATAAATTCTGAGAATTCACATGAAGCTTTATCTGTTTAAATGAGTGTGAATGCCATGGTGTGCTGATTGCCTTGTGCCCTTGCCTGTCCAACAGCCATCTATGATCTGGAATCATATAGACCTTGGAACTAAGAGTAAAATCATCCATTGTCTATTGACATATTGCATATGTTTTCATTTCTCTATTTCTTTCCTTTTTTAGAGTCAAAATTACTATAATGAATGTTTTGAGTTGTTTCATTTAACTTCTGATTCATAAATCAATACAGAAATTGTTTCGTAGTCTATATACAGTTTTTACTCTACTAAAAGTAAGTAACCTCATTAAAATAAGAAACAGTTCTTCCAGCCTCTTAGGCTGAAAGGGGCAACTAAAGTAATTTAATTTTGCCTCTTGTATAATGCAAGTCACATGTACTGTCCAGGAACTAGTGGAGCAAGGCCCCAACTGCTTTTTGGACAGTAAAGGGATGGTAGTGCACAGGCAGGATATTTCTCCAAGGTTGAATCAAGTGACAGGGAGATTTTCAGTTGTGCATTTATGTCACACCACGGGCAAACATATTCCTCAAAGTGCTGGATGTTTCCTTCAATGGCTTTGGCAACAATGGAGCAGCTGCATTGGGGGAGGCTCCTAAAGCCAACAATGTGCTGGAAGAGCTCAACATTAGGTGAGTCAGACTTTGGTTCTGCTGCACATTTTCTGCCGTGGTGGGCAAAGCCCGCAGCAGCCATTTGGATCTCCTACCTGCAGAGTGTGGTAGGTGCGTAAGGCAAAGGGAGCGTTCCAAAATACTAGCGCCGCTGGTCTCATCCCAGATCCCAATTCCTCTCCTTAAACTTGGGGTGACTTCTGAGGGGCTATGGAATGCGTTACGGAATGCAGCAGAAGAGGATCTGGGCATTGTACACGGCCTGTTAGGGGATGTTTAGGGGAGGAGTCAAGGGAGAGGGAAGGAAACTAGGTGGTCTGGGGAGGAACAAGCATGGGAAAAGAGAGGGATGAGGTGTGAATAAATGTTGAGTGTTTCTGTCTATGTTGATCTATGTGGCTGGCTGTGTGCATATCTTGCATACATTTGTGTCTGTGCCTATTGGAAATACATGGTTAGCCTCACTACTGGGGGCATGGAGCTGTGTCAGCCTCGCCTCTATCAGCCTGTGGGATTTGGTAACTCCTCACCGCTTCCAACTTTCCAAATACAATTGTTTAGTTGGAAGGAGCTGCCCTAAATTCCCTCTGGGTCTAACATGTTTTCAGTGCTGGGTAGAGCAGGAGGTTGCATATCCTTTGCCTGAGCAATGTGGATATGGAAAACCTGCAGCTCAGCATGTGAAGCATGCCTTTTATCTGTTTTTAGCAACAACCGTATTTCAGTGGAAGGAGCCCTGTGCATTGCAGCTGGCCTGAAAGAAAAAAAGGCTCTGAAAAGGCTTAATGTGAGTAAAATTCCTAGGAAGATATTGGAGCCTCTTATGCATATTTAAATATCACTGATGCATGCACGTCCTGGATTGGAACCCCTTAGAACAAATCCACAGCAAAATCAGGGAGCTGCTTGCCCCAGCCTGTCTCCTCCTATGCTTCTGTGGTTGCAGTATGCTCTCATTAAGACAGAGGGCTTTTGTATCCAGCACTTTCCTTGGTGAACAGAGATTTCTGTGGGCCTGCCCCTGCCGCTGTGTGAACTGCAGCCTGTCTTGCTGTGTCTTGCAGTATGGATAGTATCCTATTTCTGCAGCAGTAATGTCCAGCTTGGCATGGCGAGTGGCACTGGGATGGCCATTTGAGAGCCTTTGGCCCACTGTTACTGGTACTTGAAGTAAACCCCACTGGTATCTCACCTACTGGGGACCACTGGTACTGTCAAGGATCATACAAAAAAACCCGTGTTGCATATCCTCGTACTGTTTCTTTTCTGACTGCAGATAACCAGAAATCCCATGCAGAGTGAAGGCTGCTGTCGGGTCCTCAAAGCTCTACAAGCAAATTCTGGCACTGGCATAGAGATCCTGGACTTGCCAGTAAGTGTTACACCAGAAAGAAGAGGGAAGGGAAGGTAGAGGTTGAATGTGTGGTGTATGAATAACAAAGGGCTGCCAGAGGGATTCTGGCTCTGGCGTTGTTGTTGCCCAGTGAGGACTGTATATGGAGGGAATGGCCCCCACTTGAAAACATGGACATGTCTGTACGTGCCCAGGCCCCACTTTGTGTGTTTGCAGCCACACCAAGGTGGATGAACGCACTGAACTGGGCATTGCTCAGGCTTTCGGCAGCAGCAGGGTATGGAAGAAGCAGGGCTCAGCCCTCAGTGCAAAGGTGCTGAGCACTGGGAGGAATCTGGCTGCCTGTGAATTCAGAAATTCCTTGGGAATCTTGAGCTCTCTGCTCTGACAATGCAAATAATTTTGAAAGGATTTCTGTCCCTTTTCTAATGAAGCTAAATGGCACTTCTATGGCACAAGAACTTCTGCTTGAACATCTATCCCATTTGTGAGCAGTGCCAGATCTGAGAAGGCAGCCCTCTGTCACCGGATAGGTCTCAGCACAAGGCATCTCATACACTTTACCAAAGAGCATCACTTCTGGAACAGAGGTGCTGTCTTAGGCCAGTAGCCACTTAATGCCCTTAGGATCAATTAGTTAGCAACTGCTTTTAATTTCCAAAAAGAGAAATCACTTACTCAGTTGTTTATTGAGGAGGAATTTGTCTTGCCTAACTCATGTACAATGGCGGTGACTACGTCTGAGATGATTACGCAAGATCTGTTCTTAGGTGGAAGTTTAATCAATGGTATTTAAGGCAAAATTAACACACCAAAGTGTAGAGATCTGCTTTAGGATGAGGAGACTTGCACCTCAACTCTGCTGACTGTATTGACTGTATCACCGTGGACTACATAGGGAGAGTGTGATGGTGAGCTCAGAGGAAAGAGTTGCCCTGCAGTCACCAGCATTTAATCAGGTGGATCTTGTCCTTTATGACCCTCTGCTATGAACAATCCAGACATCCGCCCTACCAGCTGATGATCCCTGAAATGCTGAGCCTTCCTCTGTCCTTCAGTGCCTGTCCCTTGTACCTCCTCCTCTCCAGCTCTTTTGACCTGTCTTCCTGTAGACCATTCTTCTGAGCTTACTATCCATCCTGGCATTGTCCTGACTTTCTCTCCAGGTCTTTTTTTATTTGTTTGTTTGTTTTCTACCTTTACCCACTTTAGCTCTGTCTTTTGGCAGTGCAGTGAGGAGCTTGCATGAAAACCCGTATCTTCCTTTGATTTCTGTGCTGCTTCATCATCACTTTAGCTCTTCTGCTTCTTGCCCTGGGAGCAGGATGCTGCTGTTGAATCTCATACCTACCCATAATGTGGTGTGTTGGCTAACAGTCCTGGATCTCACAACCTTGTGTCAGAATCTTGTGTTTGGGTTGAGAGAGCACAGAATATGTTGCAATATCTGTTTACTGAGGGAGGGTAAATCATACCACATGCTTGCTTATCTGTAGTGATTTTCCCCTCTAGGACATCCCTGTGAACAAAGAGCTTGCAGAGCTGTGTGATGCTGTGAAAATACTTTTCCCAAATCTTCTTCTCAGATGTGGTGGAAACATGAAGTTGCAGAGGAAAAGTCAGTCAAAGGCTGAGCTTCCGACTCAGCCCGAATTGGTGGGTAATTCCCAGAATGCAGTGGCTTAACATGAGTCTCTTTGGGGCTGCTTCTTCAGCACCTCTGCGTAACACCCCAGTACCACTCACCAAGCCCGTGACACAAGGATGTGCCAGGGCAGTGCTAAGGCAGTATCTGTGCAAATATTGGCTACTTCATCATTGCTGACACTTGGAAGTTTTTCTGTCTTTTTGCTTTAAGATTTCTGCTACGACCAGCTCTGAGTCTCCTCCAGTACATGCAAGAGCATCCCCAAGGATGAGAGTCCAGGGGCTCCTTTTTAATCATCATCTTTGTGTGTAGGGACATTTGTCTGGTGGAACATCATGTGCCGTAGCTGCTGCTGGTGCTTGGATCCATAGCCCACTGCAGTGTGCGCTGTGGATCCATAGCCCGAGAGTGCGTTTATTATGTTGGAAGCAAAGTCCTATCCAGAGATGTATTGTGAACAAATGCTTTCTGCCTTGTTCTCCTGTTATACAGCCAGGATTGCCTTTGCTGAACTGGCTGTCAGATGCACTCGTGACTCATTTTCAGCTGCTTCCTACCACAGTTCCTTAGCCTCATGTGGAGCCCATGCTCTCTAGGGTAGAGCTCCCGACCTGGGTCATGACTGGCATTCTTATTTCCTGGATGCATGCTCTTGCTTTTGTCAGTGTTATATAGGATGGATGCTACAAGCTGCCTGGAAATAGGATAGGCACTCAGTGGTAGTTCAGCAATGACAACAGCACATGGAGTGTAACTCTTTTACTCTCCCTGGGATGTTTTCTGTGATCCCAGTGGATCCTCCCTACACTCTCTGGGACACCTGGGCACTCTGGTTCAGGGAGGGGGGGAATTGTGAGCCCCTTGAGGAGCAGAGGGCAGGGGGCAGGAATCATGGCTATGCTCTGAGCAGCCTGGCTTAACTCTCCCTCTCCTGGTCTCTGTGAAGAAGTGGTTTCTTGCAGCAGTTCCTTGCAGTTCGGGAGAGGGGTTGAGGATGGTCACACAAACAGCTCTGGATGTCTGGGTTGGGCTGGAGGCGCAGGCAGCTCTGCCCTGCAGTCAGAGTGCAGCAAACCCCAGCAGTGTTGTGGTGCTGCCTTAACCTAGTTGTGGCTATACACAAATAATTGCCTTTCATTCCCTGAAGGTTGGCAGACCTCGTTGATAAAGTGCTTGCAACAATCTTGGCTTTATCCATGGCTCCAGCTAGGCAAGCCTGGTCTGTCCCCGGGCATGACAGTATGCGCTGGTTTTGATTTCCTCTTTCACTGACACACCAACTGACGAGGTCTGGGGACATCCAGGCAGTGCTATCCTGTAAGGCAGTGGTGACACCTCTCTGAGAAGGCAGCTTGTGAAGGCAGGGACCAAAATTCAAGACGGCTTTTGACAGTCTCCTTCCAGAGTAGCTGGCTGGTGCCCTGTGTTTTGCCTTATGCTTTTTAGCCTAGAACAGAAGCATTATAATCCCCTTGCTCACTTTTCATTTACCTAATAAATGTGCCTACCAGTGAAATTGCAGTTAGTATTAGTTCTTAGCAGGAGATGAAGTTTAGCCTCTTTATTTGAAAATAACTCTATGCAGTTATGATTTACCTAATGGAGTCTGTCCTATAAATGTGCAAATTATTTCACAGTTATGTATCTAATAAATAATGTCTGTGCCTTGGACTCACACCTATCTGTTCACACCATTTCGAGAGGTCTCTTGCATGTTGTAAGGTCTGTAAATATGGGTTGTTTTTAGAAATTTCAGAACCATCCTGACACCCCCTCGATCTCTAGATGAAAAATTCATGTATCAAACACAGAAGCTGTTAAGGGGCTTGATTTAAATCAGTATGAGTACTTATATTTCAAAATATTTAGTCACCGTTTATTGTTTCTGTTACATCCTTTGCCCCTAGCCCTTCCTGTGATCTCCAAAGAAGAGATGCAAGTTAAAATCTTATTAAAAATAAGGTGGGTAAAGAATTCTTACACACCAAGTCCGTTCTTATTCACCAGCTGCCTTGACGCAAAATATAAATCTAAATATAGATTTATTAGTCACTGGAGTCAGAGCTGGGTGGTTTTTTCTTGTGAGAATTAAGCTCAGTAAATCTATCAATGTACCATTTGGGAACCTGAAAATACTGGGTGAGCCAGCAGTGTGTTATGGGGTAATATAACTGGGATATGTATGTTGAATGTTCAGTTGTCCTGTGGGTTTGATGAGAGCAGGAGGTGGCTGTGGAAAACTGAGCACTGGCCTGCTCCGTGTGCAGGCAGGATTGCGCAGGCAGGATTAGCCCTCCCGGAGGGCTGCAGGGAGAAGGGGGGAATAGGCAGCTGGAGCTAGCCTGCAGGAGGTTTTGTGTGCGAAGTTGTAGGAATTTGCTGTGCTTTGGCAGCTGCTACAAAAGGTTATGAGGAATTACACGTGGAAAGTTATACTGAGAGTTGTATTCCAGTTATACTGAAATATCGGTTATTCCCAATTTACCTGGCAATCTCCCCAGCTGTAATCGCTATTCCTCTTTCCTCCAAACTCAGTTGTGTTTTCTTTCAGGTTATGAACTAATCTTGGAATAACTCACCAGAAGATTTGCTGAGTCCCTGTTCACGATGTCATTCCAGTACTGAGCCTTTTTTTTTTTTTGTAAGTGTTATTTTGATATTGTTCCTTTTTGGTTTCTTTACAAAACTGCCAGACAGCAGTTGGATGCCGTGTGGAAGGTACTATAGTACAACAGCACTGCTGCCTCTTTCCAAGCACCTGACCCCACCAAAGCACAGAGGTTACACAAATCCATATTAACTGCCACTAATGATATTTTTTCCTTAATTCTTGAGCAGCTCTCATTTTGATCAGTGTCCTTTTGAGGCCTTGAATTTCCTTGCACCCCTTCACCTTTTTGAAGGATCAGCCAGCTTGTTTTCCAGCAGTGCTCTGGGACTTCTCCAGCTGCCTGATTGTTTCTGGAAAATGAGCATTAATGCTCCAAGGAAGCTCGCTGCCTAATTCCATGTGAAACTCTTCAGGTGTAAGTTACGAAAGGTTTAGCTATAGTAGCTACTAATAAGCATTATTTGGAGGCAGGGCTGGGGCAGAGGAGCCTGCAACATGACTCCTAGCTTTCCCCCCATGCAGAAGAGAAGTTTTTCACAAACACTTTCATCTCCTTTACAATATTGAGCGTGCTGCCATGCACAAAGGTGCCTTGGCTCTTGTCCCAGCAAGGATCGGGGCCCACAGTGTTTGGTGCTGCCCTAAAGTGCTTCCAGTCTTATGAGAGAAGCCCAGGCAGGTGGGATCATGAGAAACGGGCTATCCTTGCGCCAGAGGAGGAGCAGCTCATGCAGCCCATTCCTGACAGCATCTGATGGATGTTTCATAACCTCTCAGGCAAAGCTGTCATCACCGTGAGGAAGTGTTTCTAGTCTCTTGCCTAAATTTCCCTCATGACAGTTTAAGTCTATTGCTTCTTGCCTTGTCTCCTGTGCACGTGGTGAAGATTTATTCTCCTTACTTTTGTGGCTGCATGGTTGGAGACTGGCCCATCTGCTGTCGGAAAGGAGCCTCTGCTTGCTGGGATGGGACCGCATCGTTCATGCATACGCTTATACAACTTGTTAGAAAATGTCTGCACTGCGTGGCGAGACAGGGAAGAGCTGTGGCCCAAAGCAGCCTGGTTGCAGGGACTGCTGAGACACAGGCTGCTGAAATGCTTCTGAAACACGAGCACAAGCACTTCTGTAATGCTTTGGGTACCCCTGTGCTCAGCATACCAGCTGCTGGCCTGACCGCTGGCGCTTTGTGGAGGGACAAAGGGACAACAGGACGCAGGGTTTGTGCCATTTTTTAACGCTCTGCCTTTCTCCGGCTGGTGCTGCTGGCGTTTCGGGGATGAGGCACAGTGCTTACCTCATCCTCTGGCTGTATCTGCAGGAGGAGGAGGGGAGGATTGCAGGGGATAATGAGAGGATTACTTACAGCCAGCCTTAAACGAGCCCTGCAGCTCGTCTGTGCTGCTTTCAGAACTGGGGCGGGGGGGGCAGGGAGGAGCGATAATATAGAAACACAAGGCTGGGAAGAGATTTAGTTAGGACATTGAGATGCTCTTTCCTGGGTGCCAGCCCACCACCCTCTTGCAGTGCTCAGGGCTCCCCTTTTCCTCCCTCGAGCATGGACAGGGCTCAAGTATGCAACTGGGTCAGTGCCTGCTTATTTCAGCATAGCATCTGTGATTGTTTCTGAAACAGCATTGGGATGCACCTGTGACTCCCACCCCCCCCGCACTTTGCTGTGCAAGAGCCCGGCGATCCCTGCAGGAGCTCCCACAGCTCATGTTGCTGGGGCTGCGTGGGCAACAGCAGCGAGCCTGTCTCCTGAAGCCTCTGAGATCATCATCAGCTCAGTCCCGTTTGGTCATCTCTGGAGCTGGGCTGGGTACACCCCCTCCCCGAGCTGCATTTCAGGGCTCGGGGGAGGAGGGACACAGGCTGATTCAGTGTCTCTACCAT